GAACCTAAAACGAACAGTACATTCTTAATCATTAAAGAAAATAATACAATAATAAACTTACACATAAATTATGTAATTAACGTTATACAATCTTATTTATTGCAACAACTTAAACTGTTATGACACTTTGAATTTCACAAGAGTCCCTTCCATGAATAAATGCAGTTGTGAAAGCAACACTTCTTTTTGCAATGACAGTGTGTATAGCCTTGCCCTCCACTTTTCAAATTATCTGCAGCTGCTTCTTTCAGCAATATTTCTTGAGAAGAAATCTCATCTATGGAAAGTAACTTTTCTTTACAAATTACTTGAGGGTACCTTTTTTGTTTGCTAATTTATAAAAGTCTTCTTGTCGTTGGAGTCTTCTATTCCAACACATTTTGGGCATCTGTACGGCCACGGTTGACATCAGGGTCTTGTATTGGTACGGTATCACCAATTTGAGCAGGAGGAAATTTTCTTTTTGAGGTTCATAACATTTTCGTTGCTTGCAGTAGAAGATTCTCTTTCGCAGCCGCTCTTTTTATAGAAATTAATTCGTGTTGTTCATTCAGGGCTTGACATGAAGACGTGGTGGGTTGTGGCTCCTCTTCAATATTTTCCTTTGGAATATGGTATTTGTTAAGGACACTGATCAAATTTTTTTTCAAAAGTATTAACAATTTCTTCGAGCTGTTATTTGGTTTCAATATTTGCAATTTGTTTGCCAGGCAAAGATGACAATGCTTTGCCTCTTTTTGGTTTAATGCCAAACATGGCTTCATAAGGACTTTGGCATATTCCTTCGTGATATGTAGTGTTCTTGGCAAATTGTACAAAGGGCAAACCCTCTGATTATTTATTTGTATCATTATTGTTCATCCATGCAGTTCAAATGTTCTGTATATCCTGATTGGCCCTTTCAACCGAGCCTTGTGTTTGACTATGACGAGGCTTTCCACAAACTATCTTAACATCTTTCCACATAGCACATAGTTTGGATATGACTCGATTACAGAATTCCCTACAATTATCTGAATGCAATATACATGGTGCACCAAATGTTAAAAATATTTGAAGAAGGTGATACACTACTTCTTCAGCTGTCTTAGTTTTCAAAAGTAGTAGCTGGACAAATTTTGTTAAATGATCTTGATACACCATTATGAATTTATATTCACCATCCTTATGTGACTACAGGTCTATCAGATCGACTTGACATCTTGAATTTAACTCTGAACTGACCATTGGTTTTGCAACAATACCTTTTTTAGGTGCACTATGTTTCATTTGACATTGTTTACATAAATTTAAATACAACATTACAACTTCGTATGTAATATTTTTGTATTTAAGTTGCAATTCTTTAAGCATACGTGTTCTTCCTCTATGGTCTATTCTGCTGTGAGTTTCAGATAGTATAATGAACAATTTATCATTGGTAACATAATACTGTATATTTGTTTCTCCTGGTTTTAATGGTACAATTAATTTCTCTTCTTCATTAATTTTTAGAATGTCAAAATGTTTTAATCGTCTGTAATCCAAAGGTGTGCTGCACTTAGTTTTAGCAGAAATCACTTCAGAAAATATTTTAGATTACTTTTCTTGAGAAAAATAAAAATTGTCTTCTCGTTTACTTGCAATTAATGCATGTAACTTTTCAAAAAAAAAATTCTTGGTTCAATGCAGTATCCATTCAATATAAATTAGGGTATCGGATAAAAAAATAAAATTTAACAAAACGTTGCATGCACCAGCAAACCTTGCATAAGACTGACTAACAGCAGTGTCCTGAGTATAACAAATAGAAATCACATGGTTTCAATCATGGCAGAACAAAGGATTTGGCGACAGACTGTCGCCTTTCTGTCGACATCAGCTTATCAGGTGTCGTTTTGACCTCCATCAAAGCTTATCTGTGCTTGTCAACATACACCAGAGATTGTTTGAATGTATAATAATATAACCAAATATTTGGTCTTTCATTGACGTATTTTGTATGTGTTGACATTCTCTAATTTTGGTCTTTCACGGTAACAGTTTTTGTGTAAAATGTTAATCATCAAAAAAGAGTTTGATTATTATTCTTTATTTTACAAAATTTCACAAATAATAAATGGTATGTGTCCACCCAGGTGTGGGGCTGCACCCCAGTAATGGCCCTGACTGTAACAGTAGTTGAGTTACAAGTCTGAAGCTTGTATATCTCAATTGTATCTATTAAATACTACCATTGTGTTTTTTCTGTTTCTGGAAAAACATATCATCATCTTTTTTCAAAAAAACACAAACACATTAACACTGGTATGGGACTTGGGGCAGAGCATGTCCATTTAGCCTTTGGTTTTTGAACTAGTAAAATACATTTACATTTTATTCATAAAGAAATATTCAAGATTTTATTTTCTACTGGTAAAAATAGCCTTAATTTTATACGGGTTTTTGCTACAAGTGCCTAATGTTTCTCCGTTGATATGTTTATGTAATACTTTGCCGAAATACTACTTTTCTTAACCCACACATTATCAAGTGTTACTACTAACAGAGAAAATAAGCAAAAATCATTTATATAAACATCATTACAAATTACTGGTGCAGACAAGGAGGAGCTGTAACAAACCGCCAACTTATCGGGCTTTAATGCAAAAGACAACTTTCAGATACTACAAAAATCGATAAACAGACAGACATAAGTCGGGCAGAAATGAAGGACAGACGTGGCCAACATCCTCGTCTTCCCCATTCGTATCTCTACGACCGTATATCGACGCACAATGTCTATATTATCTGTAATTGGCCTTAATGGATGGAACCCTGTCTAATTTCTATTATTGCATTTATTGTTAATCTACTTTTTGGGCATTTCGTTTAGTTAGGGCAGACACCTTTTACACTTCCAACATTTCAAATTAGCTTCCAACGTTCCAAATTAGATTCTTAGAATTTATTTTCCTAGCAATGAACCTCTCTAGCTTCTAAGCTCTAGTTTTCTACATATATAAATGAGAATGTTTGTTTGCTCACTATACATTCCTAAGCCATTTGACCAATTGCTATGAAACTTGGCAATTACGTTCAAATACTTCTTAGATAATGCTATACATCACACACCATTATCAATTGGATTTCTATATATGGACAAATTTCTGTTTACATTTAATTGCTGGCTTTATACATAGCACCAGCTATTGGAAAAAATTTAACAAAATAATTAACTACATAATATATATTTTTTAAATATAATTCTTACAAATAAAGATATAATGTTCACTGAATTACTGCAACAATGATATAGCATGAAATAGATGCTCCATTTCTGTGACAGGTAGCACATAGCACTTACCTGCATGGAGTGTAGTAGTGTTTTGCCCTGTACATTGTACTTTTCCTGCTAGCAATAGTGTCGTGCCAGTTATGTATCTAACTCCATTCTGAATATTAAGGAAGGACTGACAAACAGATGGATGACAGTAGAAATTTATAGGTCTATGATTTTTTCAAATTGCAGCCTAGTAAGTATCCTCCAGTAACGGAGTCTATAAAACTACCAAACACCAGTAGTTGGTCGTGGGTTTGCGCACGGGCAACAGATCAGCCACGTGGAGTTTTCCGGACTTTCATCTCATTAGTAACACAAATTGCAGCCAGCTTTACATAAAAGTCTTTCCGAGATGCATTCTTCTCGGCAGATTGCTCGTGTGTCGTGTTGTCATAGCCAAATAAACCAAACCAATTCTAATAATTTTTCTATAAACGTGATATTTACCAGGATATGCTTAACTACCAGGAAACCTGGAAATTTCATCTCCTGATTTCATCTTTCCTTATTAACTCATAAACCCATTGCCCCAAACTTCCTACCGATACTGCTTAAAATGTTCTAATGTTTAGCCAAATTAATGTACAGTAAGTTAACGATTTTAAGGCACAAAGTAGAGGAAGTCTTTTTCTCTGCCGATGTTTATTTTTCCTATTTATTATCATGGCGACATTGCTTCATCCAAAACTTTCTGTAGTTATAGTCTGTGTAATGTGCACTTTATTCACAGGTTGAGTCTTAGTCAAATCTGCTTCCACTATTTTTATGCTACAACTTCCAACAGTTTTGCTTACTAACAGGTATTTGCTGAGCTTTACTTTTTCAGCCTGATTTCACCAGTTATTTTACTGGATCACATAAAAGCAATTATTCTTGCATTTTTACAAGATTTTTTTATTTAAACAAATCTTACATCAAGTCTTTTGGACATTGAGATTAGCAACGTCAATTGCATGTGGGACCATCACAACGTGTCCAACACGAATCGCTTTTCAAATATAATAGACCAATATTTAGTAATAGTTGTTGACTATCTTCTCTTCCGGGAGAAGGTCAACTGCTACTTTTGGTCGAATTACTTCAAGCCCCTTCTTTTTATTGGACCAGAATACTGCTGGTCCAATAGAAAGAAGGGTGCTGGTAGCATTTGAATAGGAAAATTACATAATTCAAAGTTACTGGCAAGAACAAATATGTTTTAAGTGGTTTTCGAAGATGTCGAGTATTTGGTCCGATTTTTCACAAAATTTGATTGGTTGGCAGATTACCGTTTGACATTTGGGTGTGAATGAAACAGTTTGTTAGTACTAACAGTAGTAGTGATTCGATACACTTTAAGGTATATTTTTAAGAAATATGGTTTGTTTTAATTTTTCTTCATTAAATTTATTTAATTTTTCTATCATATTGTGCTCGGAGTGTCGGCACCTCTTCGATGCCTTGTCAGGATTGACACCACCGTGTCCCGTTCGACACAGAAGCCACACGATGGCGAATTGGCTTTTGTTAGAAACTAGGTCACGTGCGTGGTGGCGTGTATAAGCGATGAAATTGCAGATGAAGATCTCTGAGACAGCACAACTGAAGTAATGCATTTATACTAGGTTTAAGTAACAAATAACCATTTAATTGAAAATAAAAATGATGTATATATCACGTAACCTTAATATATTGAAAAAAAATGATCTACATACTGTAGATGATCGTGCACGTAGATGTTGGTGGATCCGCTGGTAAACCAGAGGCAGGAGAGGATTCAATCGGTCTTTCTCGACGGTGGAACATGGGAGAAGGTTGGCACTTTAGAGGCGTTCAGGATGAGGTATTTAATGTGGTAATTTCCTTGTCCTGGGAGTAGAGATGAAATGTAGGATTTTCCCGGGGATCCACGTCGAAGTTAATTCAAATAGGGAGCACTTAAGTTTATTGGCAGTGACTGCCTCGTCGAGCTACCAATTCTTATTTTAAAATCGGTAGCATACGACCGGGAGGTTAAAAGATCACAGGAAAATGTTGCTTTTGCCATCGAAAATACATAACACAAGATGTTCTCAGGTAATAGTTGGCAATTATCAAACAACAATATGATTTTGTTATATTTTTTGATACTTGGTATCTTTGGTTGGAATCTGGGTTTTCACATTATCAAGAACATTACAAATATTACAAAGTAGATAATCTTTTCCAATCAACATGTTAGTATTCTATATTAGGATACATTAGTACAATTTCTAAAAAAATATTTATTACAATTAATACAATTACATTTTATAAATTTTTTAGGCAAGAATATGTTTTTATTGCAAATACTGTGTATTAAGTTTCAGAATTTTATTTTCTCTTGTATAATACTAAATATCCATAATGGTTAAAAATTATAATTTCCTTTTTTAAAATTAAATTATTGGTTAAAGTAGACAGGAAAAAATTTTTAAAAATTGATAAATGTCAATAAATTTAAAATAATCTGAAGTAAATGTAATATTTTCTGAATTTACAGGAATAATCTGAATGTTCTGAAATCAAATGCGAATCATAACCTAAAAGTTACGACAAGAAATGTCTACATAACTATTTATTTTATTCAATAAAATAAAAATGATTAACAGCACCTTTACTACATGGTGAGAATGAAATTTAGCAATTCCTTTTTTCCCATTTGGAGTAGAAACTTTCGATCTTTATAATTAGAGCGTGCTTTTACATGTTTCTTTGAAAAGCCGTGGAGACATTTTTTTACAAAATTTTCGTATTCCAGATTTTTCTGATATTAGTCCGATAAACTTTCTAATTAAGAAAGATTTAAGTCTGAACAAAAGTAAGCCAAGTTGAATTTTAGTTTTTTAAATTCATGTTCTGTATTTTTTGGTTTAGAACCCTTTTCTTAGCACTTTTATTTTTAATTCTAATATAGTCATTAAAAAAACAAAGAAACGTGTGAAGGTACCTTAAGTATAATTTTAGAACCATCCATAACTAAGAGGTTGTTAAAATCCTTGTATACTTATACCAATATTGTAGCTAAAAATAAAGTTACAAATACACAGACTCTTGGAAGTAATCTAAAAACATCCGAAACTGTCTCTAGCTGGTACAAATTGACCCATATCTACAGGCTACGGGAAAAAATGCCTTAACCCACATATTTCACTGATACAGTGAAAAAAAAAGTTAATGGATAACACTTTAATTTTATATAGTTTTGTTTTTAAAAGAGACTAAGAATTAATTTATTATTATTATATTTGATAATAAATCATATGGAATATTAATATGCTCGAGAGCTAACGGTACATCATTACCACATCTATCGTGAACATTTTCAGGATATTTAAGATCTACTTCTAAAACATAACCAATATTATTTTTATTGGTATATTAGCAATATATAATGCATTTATTTAATCTTTGGATAACCATCTAAAAATATTTATCGGTAAGTAAGAACTCATTATAAATCCATAAAGATTACTTGCTACTATGGAAAGAATATAATTACGAGGTTGATTTTTATCATACATTTCTGGAATTAAAGATTTGCAAAAGCAAATAACCCCGTGTTTTTCTGTTAAACCTATTCTCCTCTGATCTCACTTTCAATAAATAAATACATATTAAAATCATTAAACAATTCTAATTGAATTTTCATCATTTTTTAAATCCACAATTACAGGTTAAATCTAGAGTAGTTATAAAATATAATATTTTAAACTCAATTTTCTAAAAATTTGTAATATTATCGGCTAATAAAAATGTGTGTACGTATTGATATAATTTTAAATAATCTTTACAATGAAATTTTTTTCAAACTAATTTAGTGCGATTGTAATTATGGTCAGTAATGTTTTCTCTGGATAACATTGTTAATCGGAAATCAGCGGAGAGAGACACGGACGATACATATTGCGGTGGTTAAGGTATCTCTGTTTAATCAAGGAATTCATATACAAATAACTCAACATAACCAAAGGACAAACCTCTGTACACCAGGACAGATTGCAGTCAGAAGAAACAACAAGAAGAAACAAAGGGCAATAAAACCTTTTGTTCTCTTTGGGAAGGTCCCTCTCGTGGATCAAATTGATTTGCGTCAAGAGTATCGACAGATAATTCATTATAAAATTTGTCGGATACACTTAATTCTGTTAAACATCGACTTCTATTAATTTTATACAGAAATACAAACATAAATATCCTCAAGCCAACGAATACAGACTTTGGTGAATGATATTATTCCAACAACTTTTCAAATTTCATTTTATAAATCTTATGTTTTTTCTGTCAGTTTTAATCCGTAACTACTGTAGTAAAAGGAAGAATTTATATCTTTTGTAAAAATACCAATACCCAATTATTTCCAAGTTAATTTTTTTCATTTAAATTAATTATAAATGATTGGCGATTATCGGCTGGAAGCAGTAAATTGTAGGATCGGGAAAACTCTTCTGAAATTTCTTTATTTTGGGGTCGCTCGCTGCCAAACTCCACAAAGTAACAGTATTCATTAATTAATAATCAACAAATACGGTTTGTGGATGGTCAATTTCTAAACTATTATTTTATACTAACAAATGAATAACGTTTTGGGTTTCTGGTATCACCTTCGAAAATTTTAATTTTATTGAAATACAATAGAGCGTCGTTTATCCGAATCAATTGGGGACTGGGGTGGTTCGGATAACGAATCATGTATGAAAAAATATATTAATTTATCCAGTGTTGAAATTTCTCTCCGTTGCGTGTCGCTTCGCGTTGAATTTTCGTCGATGTTAAGCCTAACGAAGACTATTGTATCGTTAAAAATTACTTTATTTTGTACAAACAAAATAAATATATTGAAAAATATAAAAACAATAAAAAATTATACTTCAGAAGTTAAATTAATTTAGTATCAAAAACGTAAAATATTTGAGTAGCCCAAGACATACCCAAAGATTGAAGCGCCAC